TGCCCATGTAGGGGCTTCACCAATAGGTGTGGCTTCTGTATCAAGGAGTCCTGGAAACTTTTCTCCACCCTCTGACCACTTTGCCCACTCTTGTGCCAAAGTCTTTTGGTCACCAGTGAGGGACTGAAGCAAGGCGCTTTTGCCAATCTTTAACCTGATTAATCTAACCACTGTCCCAAACGATGACTGGCCAGGTTTCTCACTGTAATTTCTGCATTCTGACCTTTACTTTTCTTTTCTTTTTTTCATTATTTAGAGAATACTTTATTAGTTTCTGTAATCAAACCCATGTAGATAAGACGGTACCCATTTAATACAGTGCGTTAGCCCCGTACAAATGGAAGAAATTATGTTTAATGTTTCGAGACAAATATAGCTGCTGACTTTTTCAATTTCTCCAAAATCATCTAAAAATTTCCCTCCCGCTGGGACGGGTCTCATGACTCTCCCCTTTCTGTTTCCTCTTTGTTTTGCTCCTATCAATATTTGCTTATTCACCTTATTTCTTAATAACCATTCAAAAATTTCCACTCTGTTGGGAAGTCCTTTGAGTCTCCCCTCAGCCTCTTTGCATTCTCTTGTTAATTAACTTAATGTTTTTATTACCATCTGTGAAACTGAGTTCTCCTAAAACCAAGTCCCCTTACCGAGTTCATGATTAATCCCTTTATGCAAAACTTTATTCCCCTTCTTGTCCCCTCTAACCTCAATTCTGTGCTAACTGAACACTAGCCAACCAGAGTCAGATGACTAAAATTTTGCTGTTGTCGATAAAGTCTTTAATGTACTAAAATTGCTCTTATAGATATCATCATTAACGTACAGACTCAGGTTGTTTCTTCGGGGTAAGATAAGCTCACAGACTCCCAAGCCATGGACCACCTGGTCAGAGAATCATACATCAGAGACATCTTGACTTCCAAAACTATGATTAAGAAATGTCATAAGAAATGATTAATCCCAGCCTCTTTGTTCCTCACCTTAAAAAAACCCCAAAAGACCTTTAGTTCAAAGATCAAGTTGGAGTGGATCTGAGGCTTGTCTCCCATTCCCTTTCTTGGCACCCTGCAGTAAGTCCTTACCTTGCTGCAAACACCTGCTCTCATAGTTTGGCTTTCTGCGCTTGGGTACATGAGCGCTTTGCTTGGTTACATCTGTAAGACCTATGAGGGGAAGCTGAGACAGGAAATTCGATAAAGCTTCCTGCACTGTTCTTTGGTTTTGCAAAAATAGGGTTATATGGGGTGCCTATGTGAAAGGGGACCCCTTAACCACAGCATTTACCATGTCCTGGGTAATGGGCATATTCATCAGGTAAATATCTCAGTCATCACAAAGCCCGTCCCACATGGCTTACAGATGAAGCATAACAGCTGCTTCATTTGGGGTGTTCCACTTGGCATTCATAGCGGGTGATGGGCAGTCTCCCTTCTGAGGGTTAACAGATGTTTTCTCCAGTCCACCAGGCTGGCGGAGCCCTCAGGAATAACCTCGTGTGTGTCTGGATCACATATAGCCATCTGTGATTGTTCTATAGTGAGCTGTGTGTCCTGTATCAACCCAAACATGCTCTTCTACTCTGCAGCACTCAACCAGTGACCAGTCCCCAAATTAATTACTCTCACAATCCATTTTAGTAAAGTTTCCTCAGGAAGCTGAGAATATCAATTCACAAAATGAAACAACTCCTCCACACTCTACTCCCTGGTTTTAATAGTTGCTTGGTTTTGCCCTTCCTTCACATTGACTACCTTCTTCATGATCAGGGATCTTAGAGGTACTTTCTGTTGTCCCTTGTTTAAAAAAATTTTTTTTCAGCTGAATAAATTTTATTATTTATTTATTTTAAAATATTTATTTGGCTGTACCAGGTCTTAGTTGCAGCACATGGGATCTTGTTCCCTGACCAAGGATTGAACCTGAGCCCCCAGCATTGGGAGTGCAGAGTCTTAACCACTGGACCACCAGGGAAGTCCCTCAACTGAATAAGTTTTAAAGATCTAATTGTCTTTACTGAACCATTCATGATTTGGGCAACATCCCATCTAGCAAGTAGAGAGGAGCTCTGAGGAGCTGTACTAAAAGGAAGGCTTTTCTAGGCAGAGAGTGGATTACCTCGCCTTCCTCTGGGGGATGGGAAGGGCCCGTGTGGCACCTCACTGGCGCTGACCAGAAAATTCCAGACCGACTGGTTAAAACTACGTTCCTGGGAAATGTTGAAACTGCTATTAGGTTAGGTATTAAGTCTTGGTTTGTTGATGTGGGGCCTAGCAGAAGTGACTCCATTTTGGGCCTGTTGTTCCTTTTTAATGATTCTCCCCTTTTGATCAGACTCTATGCTTAGCTGAAAGACGTGATAAAAATTGTAAGGCATTAGTGCCACTCTCAGCTACTGCTCTGAAGTTCTCCAATTTTTGTCAGTCATTTGTGTAGTGTCCATAGGTCATAACAGTTTTGCTTAATCCCTGTGATATTTACAGGTCACAGCTTCAAGTTTACAATCTTTAAGTCGGTCATTCTCTTTCTTCCTTTTTAGATGTCCCAGTTTTAAGGAGATCATTTGCTTGGTGGTTAGCAGCTGTAACCATGCACTTAGAGCTTTTGAGAGAATACAATGCACCTCGGAGAGCGTTAAGATTATAAATAAGCAGGATAATCCCCAGTGTCTGGAGTGCACTTTGGACTATGGTTCCTAAGACTCAAACCAAGCAAAGTCAAATAAGTCAAAGATGACCCTGCTGAAGGAGTCATCTTTTTAAGCCAAGTGGCTTGCTCAGTGATCTTATGTAATTGGGTGTCAACGTTCCCAGAAGTGTCAATCCAGGTGCAACAGGTGGTGTTGGCCATGGAACACATACTTCATTCCTCAGCTAAAAGGTAATCAAGGGCTATCCTATTACCAAGAACAACTTTGGGGAAAAAACCCTCCACAACTTTGGCCGGAAAGTATAAGAATTTTTGTTGGGCAGCTACTGCCATTGCAGCAGATTCTGTAATATTGTCAGTAGTTAAGGAGAGGTTCCTCATTTGCATTTATGCATAACCAGGGAAGTAGGAATCTAGTAAAGGGAGCTAATTTTGAATCATGAATGCCTCCTGATAATTTCCATTTGAATCTATGGCTCAGAACTGGAAATGTGACAGTCATGAAGGCCAACAAAATGTTAGGGGTATGTAGACAATACAGGCAGTTTTATTCCTTTTATTTTTAATTCAGTTTTTAATTTTTTATGACCCTTGTTTTGTGTCCCTTTCTTTGCATAAAGCCTGGATGCAAAGTTCTCCAAACTTGTGTTGTTAACCAGAGACGGGGAAAGGGACCAGGGGTTCTCTAGCATAATGGACAGACCAGAGTTTTTGATGACGAATCCAGCAGTCTGAAATGTTACCACCCATTTAGCAATGGCCTGGGAGATACAGATGGGATCTTATTTCCCCAACCAGGGATCGACCCTGCGCCCCCTGCTGTGAATGCACGGAATTTTAACTACTGGACCTCCAGGGAATTCCCCGGGCCTGTTGTTCTTAACATCCTGCACAATTTTTTCCTTGAGGTATGTCTTTGAGGCTAGTGGCCATAGCTCAGACTCACCTAAATCTGAGGTTGGTTTAGCATCAAGGCCCAACCCACACTTTCTTTTAATTTCATTTTAGCTATTATGGATAATAATCATCAAGGGACTGTATGTTTAGCATGCTTATTATTTTGCATTTCCTTATAGATCCAATAGCCAACTCCCTGGGAGTCGGGCTACTATTATTTCTAAACTTTATTTAGTAAATTTTACCTTTAGTAACAGATTGCAGCATAGTTGTAGTTTCATAGGATGAATGACATGCAGGGATCAAGGGTTTGTCTTTCCCTGCCCTTTTACCTTTTTCTTCTTAAGCCACCTGTTACCATGAGCCAGGGCCTTTCTATCATACCCCACACCAATTAGTGATGCTGAACATCCCAATTCCAAGCAATGGATTGTGTTTGGGGTTGACAAATGTGGGGGCGGGGTTTGGAAAAAGCCCTTGAAATGTAGGGGGTCTTCCCTGAGGCTTTCTAGCTTAGCCTTTGGGAAGGGGGACGTTGATGAGTCAAGGTTGGTGAGAGTGAATTGGACTCCTGGCTGTGCCAGTGACTTGCTGTGCAGTTCTGGGTCAGTCAGCAAATACATGTCCCCTGCTAAGGGCCAGGCACTGTCCCAGGCACCAAGACAAGAGAGATGTAGTAGTCCTTGCCCTCCTAGAGCCTGGCACCAGGGACGGGGACATGGAGGACACATAATGACAAATAATTAATCTCAGAATTCTAAGTCTGTTCCCCAATCTGGATCTTAGGGTCTCTGCATAACGAGAAGATGGGGCACGACAGTTTTTAAGTGGATGACCTGGGGGCAGTCCCAATATCCCTGGTGTAATTATTAATGGTGCCCCTTCCACTCTCAGAAGGTCCCAGTTTAGACAGTAAATGTACGGTCACTTTTTCTTTAAAGGACATTCCTGATCTAAGCTATCAGGAGGTGACTGGCCTGATTTCAGATTGTGGATGTATTTGAAGTGCCCATGATGGGGCATTTCTCTGGATTGTTGCCCGTCGCATTGTGATTTGACTATTTTTGACGGAGGGTGAGAGATGGGAGCCACACAGAAGGCAACCAGGAAACAAAGAAGGAAAGAATACCCTTCTCCCGGGCAGATGGGGAACCAAGGCTATGCAGGGTGGGTATCAAGACCCCAAGAAGTCAGGGGTCCAGAGGAGAAGGGGCTTCTCTGACTGTCCCTTTCACCTCCCCTTCCCAAATTCCTCAGTCCTGGCTTCTTATCATGGATTCAACTTGTATGTGGAGGAGCCCATGGTCTTCCAAGAGGATGGAGCCGGCTTTGGGCAGAGCGTGGTCCAGTTTGGCAGATCTAGGTAGGCTCCGCCCACTTCCCCAGCTCCACCCCCTTGGCCTGCAGGCAGGTGGCTGCATGTGGCAGCCCAGGAGTTTCCCTGGAGGAAGGGCAGCATGGGCGAGGAGCCTGTACATGACACCACTGACTACTGACCCCTGGCATGAGCTGGGCAAGGACAGGGTCAGCCGTGCCCAGCCTGCCCAGTCCTTAAGGGTCTGTGCTGGCCCTGTGAGGATCCCCGTGCTTTAAGGAGTGTGACACCAAATAGCAAATAGGAAACACCAGGACAGGCAGAGAGGGAGGCACTGCAGAAGAAAGGGGGAAACACTTTTTTCCAATGACGAGACCCCGCATTTTTATTTTGCACTGGGACCAGCAAATTATGTACCTGCCCTCCCTCCAGAAGTGCACATTCTTGGGTCCCAGAGACAGGGACCCAAGGAGTTGAAGTCACAGTGTGAAGCAAGAATAACCAAAGTCTGAGAGGCAGAAGAAGGGAGACCTCAAACCCAGGAGGGAATTCCAGGAAGACTTCACAGAGGAGGTGGCATTGGCAATGAGCCTGAGAGCACAGGACAGTTCACTTGGCCAAGAGGGAGCACACAGAGGTCACTGAGTTCTAAATGTACATCCCTCCTCCTTCCTCACCCTGCTGGCAGGCTGGGAATGTGGAAGCAAGTGCCAGGAGCCAGAGTTTTATTTTTTCTTTGTTTGTTTGTGTTGAAATATAACACAGAGACTGAAATGCACAAATCCCAAATCCAACTCAATGAATTTTTCATATGTGTGTACCCAGGTAAACACCACCTAGATCAAGATGTAGAACCTCTCCAGCCCCCTCTCGCCTGGGTTCCCTTGGGACTCTCCTGATCACACAACACCGAACAAATCCAAAGAGAGCCTCTGTACCACTTACCATCACCACCAATTTGTGTTGGGGTCCTATTTTTTTAAAAAAATGAATATAAAACTCTTGATTGACTGCTGTTCACCAGTATTTACAGTAAAGTAAATAATATATATTGGATGTTATTCTGACTGCTACAAAGTTAATGTTTTTCCTCGTTTCTGCTGAGTTGTTATCCAAATACGAGAAGACTGAGCCCACGTCTAAGGAATGGGTTGGGGTGAAGAAAGACATGCAGATCAATAGTCTAAGACTAAAAGTTTATTCACACATTTGTGCCAGCAGGTCCCAAACGGCTACATCTCCAGCATCTGATTCAGTTTCATCCTCAAGCCTTAGACAAACAGGGAGTTCAGGTTTCCATAAAGAAATGGCTCTCTAGAAGGAATCTTGTTAAATGACAGTTTAACAAGACTTGCTTGGCTAATTAGTTAAAGTACACTAGTATTTGTCTAGTTTCCTCATCTGAGTAGCGAGGTTGTTGCTAGTGAGAACATTTTTCCAAATTAAAAAATTCTCTCCTCTCAAGGAATTTTGCAAATAAATGGTTGCATTTATATGACTGCAGATACAGATGTGGCTTCTGACACAGCTGCTTAAAATGGTCCCATTTAAATTGTTTATCTTATATTTAAATTGTCCAATTAATGACAGAATTATCTATTTGGTTTCAAAAGCTTATGGCTTCGGGACATCTTTCCGTTTTTTCTATTTGAGGCGACCTATTTCTTGGGTGGCTCCGAATGATGGCTCCTAGGAAACAAATTGCGCTGACCTGTGGCTGGGAAATGCTGTCTTTGTTCTGAATAGTATTATTTGGGGTGAATGTTAAAACATACACACACACACACACACACACACACACACAAACCATTTGCATACACAAACACACATATATTTATGTATACACACACACATACACAAACAAATAAACAAAAAGCCCAGCATGGCCTTTCAACATACGTGGGTTAGACTCGGGCCCTGATTTTTAATAGCCTCACACGTGGCCGAAACCAAGAGCTCCCCTCATGAAGTCTCACTTCCCCGTGACACTTCCTCACCCGAAGCGCCTTGTGCCCCAACCCCTCCTGTGACTGTCTGTCCTGGTTGTGCCTCCAGACTCGTGGTGGAAGCCCCCCTGGAGGTGGTCGCAGTCAACAAAACAGGACGTTTGTACGACTGCCTGGCTGCCACCGGCTTGTGTCGGCCCATCTTGCTGAATAGTGAGTGACTCGCCCCAGGAATCAGGGCCTTCAACCCTCCTACACCAGACCGCCCCCTCCTCAGCCTCCAGCTCGGACTGTCCCCCCAAACAAGGGTGTGCCCTTGAGTGTGACCCTGTGTGTGTGCCCTCTCAGCACCCCCAGAGGCCGTGAACACGTCCTTGGGCCTGTCCCTGGTGGCCTCCACCGATCTCTCCTGGCTGCTGGTGAGTGTTTCTGGGCCCCGGGAGGGTCTCAAGGGAGGAACAAGGGCCAGAGGAGGCTGGGGCTGGGCGAGAAGGAGGGGAAGCGTTCTGGGGGCCCCCTCGCCCACACAGGCCTCTGTCCTCAGGCCTGCGGCCCGACCATGCACAGAGCCTGTGGGGAGAACATGTATGCAAAAGGCGCTTGCCTCCTGCTGGGCTCCCACCTGCAGATCATCCGGACAGTCCCCGCCACCCTAAGGTCCCCTAGAGACAGCAGTTCCGTGTGGAGCACGTGCTGGCACTGCTCATGCGTGCAGAGCATGAAGCCTGGGTCTCGGCCTCTTGGGCCTCCTGTGTGCAGGTCCCTTCCCAGAGGCCTCAGCAAGCACAGGAGGGGCTGGGAGCATGGTCTGGCCTGGCAGGAGGGGTAGCTCATGGCAGCAGCCCTGAGCCAGCCAAGTGGTAATGGCTCTGATGGGGCAGGAGGGAGTCCAGCTCTTGCAGGAGGCATGAGGGCCCTACATTTGCCAACAGGTGCAGGAATGCCTCCTGGTTTCCAGAGGAAGGTCCTTGGGGGGGGGGGGGAAAATGTGTCGTGAGGACGATAGATCCAAGAATCCAAGAGGGAAGCAGTCCTGGGTCGTTCACTGCTGAACTGCCAGGACCCGCCCCAGACTCACTCTTCCCCTTCCAAGGGGAGCAAATGGCCCGGCCATGGGGAGTGTGAGGCACAGCTTTGCAGCACTGTTGTCATCCACAGAGAATGGTGACTGGGGGCCCTGCTGTGGCTTCTCTCTGAGAGTCTGTCTTTACAAGTTCATCTTCTGTGTCCTTGGGCAAGTGGCTTCTTTCCCTGGGCCTTAGTTTCCTCATTGGTAAAATGGAGCTTAATAATCGAGGTGGCTATTAGGATTAAAAAATTTAATACACATAAAGTGCTTAGACTCCTTTCTGGCACATGTATGTGATCGCCATTATGACTGATTTTCTAGCTGAAGACCATGTGTTCCGTCTAGGAGGAAGATACAGATAAACTGCCCCATCTGTGGCATCAGAGGGAATAGTGGGCCCCAAATGAGATCCAGGGACCACTCAAGGCATGATGTGAACCAGAGAAACCATGATGCCAGCTTTGGTGGGCTTTTAGCAGAAAGTGAAACAGCAGCAGAAAGAGCCCCCAGACCAAATTGTGAGAGCAGAGTCTACAGAGGGGACAGAGAGAGTGGAAAAGACTCTTGTGGGTACCAGGCCCCACCTGGGATGTCTGTGCAGCCAGACATTTACTAGATGGTAAATGTCTTTCCCTAGATGTTTCTGGGGCTCATGAGGTGGGATGCCTGATGAAAATGGGACACAGATGTGTAAAACTGGTCCAGACGAGGCAGGTTTGAATAGATTTGGCAAGACTGTGTGCCAGGCAGTACTGGGTACTGGGTTCTGGGTGTGCATCACCTTATAGCATCCTCTCAAGATCCTTGTGGAGGCCAGGATGATCCCCATTTTATAGAGAAAACTGAGGCTCAAGAGAGGTGAGTTTCCACTTTAGGAAGTGGCAGAGCCCAGAGCTTGAGCCAACCTTTCCTGATTGGCTCAGTTGTTTTTCAGAAGGCCATTCAGCTACAGCCAGCTGCCTGCTATGGGAAGCCCAGTGCATGCAATAAAAGAAGCAAGAAACAGAAGTAACATTGCGAAGGCGCTGGCCCCAGGCCTCGTCTGAGAGAGCATGTGGGGGTGGTTTTGTGATGCAGCTAAAAATGTGGGCCCAAGTACAAGACGTGGTGGCAGGGAACGCCAGCTACCCAGCTGTCAGGGACAGATCAAGGGTGAGAAGGGGAGCACCTGAGGGCTTCTCGGCCTGCTGTGTCGGTGGCTGGATTTCCTGGTCTTCAAGGAAGCAGGGAGGGAAGTGATCTTCCATTTCTTCTGGGCACTGGTGATGTTGGTTGAGTAGGTGGGATGGGTGAGGAGTGAGGAGATAGGAGAAGGCATTCTGCTTCAGTGCCCTGAGGCAGGGTACCACAGCTCAGCATCACACCTCATAGCTGTGGTGGTCTGATCTTCCAGCACCCTGGGGCCAACACAGGATGTGGAGTGCTGGTGGAGGCATCAACCGGGTTTTGCACGCAGGCCACAAGCCCCTATGTAAGTCTGGGGACAACCTGAAATGTTTTATTTGTTCATTTACGTCTGATGTGTCTTTCCATTACGGTGTGGACTCCACAAGGGCAGGGACGAGATCTTTTTGTTTTGTTTTTTGCCGTACGCGGGCCTCTCACTTCTGTGGCCTCTCCCGTTGCGGAGCACAGGCTCTGGATGCGCAGGCTCAGAGGCCATGGCTCACGGGCCCAGCCGCTCCGCGGCATGTGGGATCTTCCCGGACCAGGGCACGAATCCGTGTCCCCTGCATCGGCAGGTGGACTCTCAACCACTGTGCCACCAGGGAAGCCCACGAGATCTTTTTTAAAGCTATGGTCTTCAGTCAGGTTTCCCCAGAGATAGACTTAGAGGCTCACCTGGGAATGTTCTCGGGAGCAACCCTTATGAGAGTGTGAGGGAAGCAGGACTTGGCAGATGGAGAGGGTACACTGTGAGAGGCCTTAGCTGCCCCACGGAGAGCTCAGAGCATGGCCGGATATGGGTTGCCCGCAGGAGCAGGAGGTGACCTTGGGTAAGGCACCTCCCTTTTGAGTGGGGTGACACTTAGGGAGGAACTCTGCTGGAAGCCATCAACAGCCAACTTCCTGCAGCTGGGAATGAGCACCTCCATCCTGATGGGGGGCAGGTCTTGGTGGCACACCTTAGCATCCGCTGCAGGTGTGTCCTTGGGCCTAGAACAATGCCTGGCGTGTGGTGATGATGGTGATAACAGCTACCTCTTATGGGGTGCCAGGCCCTGTCTTAAGTACTTTATGTACAAATTCATTCTTTTTATCTTTGCAATAATCCCATGTGGTAGGCACTACTATTACCCATTTTACAGATGGGGAAAACTGAAGCCCAGTGAAGTTATGTAACTTGCCTGCATTCACCACTAAGAGGTGGGAAGAGGTGGGATTCGAGCCCAGGCATGCTGGTTCCAGGATGCACATTCTGAACCACTTCGCTAAATTGCCTTCCACTGAGCCCCACAGTATCCCTGGTGGTGTATTCAATAAATATTTGTTGACTAAATGAGTTAGGAACCCACCCGGGCCCCACCCTCTACTTCTTCCTCCCCTTCTGTAGGCCTTGTGGAGGGAGGGGAGCAACAGGGATTCTGCTGAAGGGAGAAGGGGCTTGGGCAACAGATTTGGACCTCCTCGGTGGAGGGTGTCAGAAACTGGGTGGGCCAGGAGGCCTTGGCATCCCTACGCCAAGGATGGCCCCCTGGCTCTGTGGAGCAGAAAGGGTTTCTTGGTCCCAGGAAGTGGCTGGGACCTGCCCATGCATTTCTGATTCCTCCCTCCCTCTCTGCAGAGTGTCCAAATCAAGAGATAGACATTGTCTTCCTGATTGATGGCTCTGGCAGCATTGACCGAAATGACTTTAAACGGATGAAGAACTTTGTCAGAGCTGTGATGGACCAGTTCAAGGGCACCCACACACTGGTGAAGGCTGGGCCCCCGAGGCCTGGGGATTGGGATCAGGGAGGGCCTACCTCTGGGAAGGCCAACCTGGGAGGGGGCCTGGCATCGCTGGGGGCTGGCTCAGTGGACTTGTGCCATGAGGAGGCCAGGGTCCAAGGTCAAGGTATGGTCCCAGTGCAGGGCCCATTTGAGCCCTAACCTGAGGAGGTACCCCCATCACATGTACTATGTCCCCACATGCCACAGGAAATACAATGTTTTTGCTGTTTAAATATATTGAAAGGATTATCAAATCAACTTACTGTGATATTTGACTGAAGGTAACTTGGCCAAATGATGATTTCTTTATTATGTTTTCCATGTAACTCACAATTTCTTTATCTTATTATTTTATTTCCCAGTAATCAGTGTGTGTGTATATGTGTGTGTATATATATATATATATATATATATATATTTATTTATTTATTTATTTATTTATACAAATTCTTGAGAAGCAAGGAAATATAACCTACAAGTTGATTTCATGTATTATAAATTTTTTTTAAAAATCTAAGTTTAACAAATATTGTGGTTGGCAAGGCTATTCTTTGTAAACTATGAAAGAAACATTATTTGGTTTTGATTTTCCAGTTTTCTTTTGGGGCCATTTAGTTTTTTCTGGGTCTCAGTATATATTTGTCGGGCCTCAAAGCCACATGGAACATGGTTTGTAAATACAAAATTATTCCAAAATAAAAAACTTCCTAAAAAACAACTCCTGAGCCCCAGGGCCCTCTTCTTGGCCTTCACAGTTCTTGCTGATGCAATACTCAAACCTTCTGAAGACCCACTTCACCTTCAGCCAATTTCAGACCAGCCGGAGCCCTCAGAGCCTGGTGGATCCCATCGTCCAACTGGGTGGCCTGACGTTCACAGCCACAGGCACCCAGACAGCGGTGTAAGCTCCGCCCCACGCTGCCTGTGAATGAGCTGCTACCCCACTGCTGCCTCCTGCTGGGTCTGCACAGCCCTTCTTAGAGGCTGAGGGAGGCTCTGGGGAAAGGGGCTCACAGGGGAGCGAGGGGGCTGCAGGCAGAGTCCTCCCTGGAGTGTTTCTGGTCCCATTGCTCATTGCCATCCCCTGATCTAGGGCGGGACTCCTCTGCAGTGTGTTTCCCCTTTGCCTGGCTTTGGCTTGGCTGGACCCTGAGCCCACCTGGGCTTTGCTTCTCGGTTCCCATCCTGGCTCTCCGCTAGCTACCTGGGCCACCCTTGGAGTTACTGACTCTTTCTAAGTCTCAGGAAACTGTCCAATGAGGAAAAACTCACAACTTGGTTAGAAGGATTAAGCGAGATAACATGGGTGAGGTGTTTCCGCACAAGAAGTGCGAGATAAATGGTTGGGGATTTTATCCAAAAAATGGTGCAGCTCCTCTTTACCTCCCTGGAAGGGACTCAGGAATTATTTCCAAGTGTCTTCTTTGTGCCTTTCTCCCTACTCAGCTCCCTTCATCCCTTCATCCTCTCATCCCTCATCCACTCAAGTCTCTATGTACCATGTGCCTGCCCGGAACTGGGGGCTAGGTGGTCCAGGAAGAAAATGGCTTAGGTGGTGGGACCACAGTGGAATGTGTGGTTCCCATGGGAAAAAACTGGGTAGAATGTCTGGGATCCTTGACTTCCTGCACACCCTTGGGCACTGCCCTGGGGATGGTGCTGGAGAAATATTGAAAAAGGGATGATCTCTCCAAAGGCACTCTCTTTACTTTTGGGTGGCTTTTCTGCCTTGAACACTGACCTGTTGGGACTGGACAACCAGGAAGAAAGCCTCTGTCTCTTGAGTTGAAAGTCACACAGGAGAGGCATCTTTCCCAGTCCCTAAAGCTCCTCCCAGCAGGGGGCGATGGTGTGGCTCTCATCAAAATCCATCCTCTCCCATCACCTCCCTGCTCCCTAGAGCCAAGCCCAGCTCTGCCACTGACTGGGTGGTTGCTGTGTTTGTTTTCTTTTTTCTTTTAGAAGTTTCATTACAAAAAAGACAAAAAGGCAACAACATTAAGGAAAGTTTTGAAAAAAAAAAAGAAATATTACCTACAGTTCCTCTAGCCAACCATCTTGCAGTATTGTGGCAACAAGAAAGAATAAGTACAAATGAATAAATAAATCCTACTCTCAAAAAGCACAGTGTCATTTCCATCCTTGTCTTTATTTAGACTTATTTTATATAGTCACAATCAGGGCAGAAACTATCTTCATCCTGCCATTTTTTTCCATCTGTTCCATAAACCTGTTCCATGCTTCTCTACAGCTTTTATTGTTTTCCTTTGAAATGGCTGTGTACTTTTCCACCAAGGGGCTGGGTCATGATTTGCTAAACCCCTTCCCTAACACGGGACATTTAGGTTGCTTCAGTATTATATCTGGTGTGTGTATGTTATCTGGTGCATATGTGTGTGTGTTTGTGTGTGTTTATTCTGAGTTTGTAGAACTGCATGAACATATATGTTACATTTTTAATCATTTGTAATAGCTACCATAGAATTAATGCTTACCTGTAGGCCAGTCACTGTTGGAAAAGCTTCACCTCATTTGACCCTCAGAATAACCTGAAACTATTTGTCTCAGTTATTTATTGCTGCCTGACAAACCACTCCCAAATTTAGTGGCTTAAACAACACCCCTTTTGTTACTACTTTTCATGATCCTGGGGCTCAGCTCTTCTCAGGTGGGGTCTCTCATGTGGCTGTGGCCATGTGGCACCTGAGGCTGGACTATGAGAGCTTCATTCACGTGGTTGCTGCCTTGGCAGGATTGGCTGGAAGGCTGGGCTCAGCTGGGATGGCTGGGCCTCTCTCTTCATGTGGCCGCTCCACGGGGTGCCTCTAACAGGTTGGCTAGACTTCTCTCATGGCGGCTCAGGGCTCCGCAAAGTGCAAAAGCTACCAAGGTTTCTTAGGCCCATAACTGGCACAGGGTCACTTCTGTTGCATGCTGCCGATTAAAGGGAGTCACAGGCCAGGCTCAATACGGGAAAGGAACCAGGTGTGGTTCACTGGGGACCATCTTTGGAGACCAGCTATGGTACAATTATTGCTCTCATCTTGCATGGAGAGAAGCAAAGGCGCAGAGAGGTGAAGTAACTTGCCTTGTTGCCTCCTGGGAATGAGGTTCTGTAGTGGATGGAACTTTAGGGACAAGGAATATGAGTACCTTTGTTCTCAGTCTCACTAATGATTGTCAGTATGTATCCATGTCTTAACATACCTGAGTCTCAGGGTGCCAGGACTCCCCAGTCTTTCCAGAGGAGCTTCTAGTGCTGCAAATGATTTCTTCCCAGAATCTCAGTAGAGTTGCCCCCTTTTTCTTCCTCGATAGGAAAGAACTATTTCACAGTAAGAATGGGGCCTGTAAAACTGCCAAGACTCCCTGAAATACAGCGACGTCATCCCCCAGGCAGACAGAGCCCGCATCGTCCGCTATGCCGTTGGGGTGCGTCCCCTTCCTCATGGCTCCCCCAGACTCAGCCTGCACCTCCCCCAGGCAGAAGGGCTGGCGGGCTCCTCCTCCTCGGCTGCCTCTCTGCCACAGGTGGGAGATGCTTTCCAGGATCCCACTGCCAGGACGGAGCTGAACATCATTGGCTCAGTGCCTTTGGAGGACCACGTGTTCAAGGTGGACAACTTTGCAGCACTCAGCAACACCCAGAAGCAGCTGCAGGAGAAGATCTTTGCAGTCGAGGGTAAATGGGGCGTGACCTTGGGTCTCGGAATTGAAAGAGTCGCGACCCAATTGTGTTCCTCAGTCCTGAAAGTTCATTCCTGCTCATAGCTCACCCAAAATTGTCCCCCAGAACCCAAGCCCCAGACCACATTCTCCTCTTTCTGCTCTGAATCTTCATGGCCTCAAGGTCTCCGGGAGCCTGATTGACCCGTTTCCCCACAGGAACGCAGTCAAAGACAAGTAGCTCCTTCTAGCATGAGATGTCTCAAGAAGGCTTCAGTTCCGTCCTCACAACGGTGAGTGGAGTGTGTGCTCGATTAACGAGTATCAGGCACCAGCCCTGTGTTGGGAGCTGGGAACCAGAATAAACAAGAACGCAGACCCTGTCCTCAAGCTCACCATCTAGTCCAGGAGAGACACACAGGCAGTGTATGTAGGTACAGAGAACAGGATAGCGGAGGTTCCTGCTCTCCTGGATCGCATAACTAGTGGGAGGAGGTGACAAACGACAAACAAACGAAAGACTTTCAGATTGTGCTAAGCACTGGGATAGAGAAAGAGAGGTGTCAGAGGAGGCCTAAGGAGTAACAGCTGAGGCTGAATGATGAGAAAGGGCGAGGCCTGGAAAAATATGGCGAGAGATTGCTCCAGGTAGAGGAAAAAGCAAGTGCAAAGGTCCTGAGTCAGGAACAAGGTTACTGTACTAGAGAGATAGAAGGGCCAGCACAGCTGGAGCAGAGTGAGCTAAGGGCAGCATGGAGAGAGGGTGGGAGAGATGGGAAGCCCGTGCAGACCAAAGAAGTGACAATATAGACAGACAATTGTCTGAAAGTAGATGTGTGTTCAAAATATCCAGAGAGATTTGCTTCAGAATAACTTTGAGGGCAATTGAGGTGGACGTAGACGTGGAACAAGGTTTGTCATGAGTTAATCACTGACGCTGGGTCATGGGTTCTTATGGATTCATTACACATTTCTTTCGACTTTTGTATGTGTCCTAAATTAGCCATAAGCAAAAGTTTGAAAAGGCAATAAGCATTCAGAGGAGGAAATGCCAATCCTGTCCTGAGCGAGCTTAGGAAGACCTCACAGAGGTGACTTAGAGGCTGACTCTTCCAGAGAGAGGAACTGCGTCCCAGAAAGAGGAGAAAGGAGCGTCCCGGCCAGAGGCTTGGTGTATTTTGGAACAGAGTGTCACTGCGCAGGCTCGATTGGGAAGGATCCTAAATGCCACCCTCAGGAGCTTGGGGACAGTGAGCCACCCTGGTTTGCCAGCAGGGTGGTGGCTGCACGTTTGGGTTGGAAGAAACCCAACTCTGGGGCAGTAGATGAAACAGAGGAAAGCAAGCTAGGAGGCAGGAAGGGCAGTGGGTGAGAGGTGCTGGGGTGACCGTGATGGCGGCAGTGGGGACGGACTGAGACATGTAGGAATCAGGGACACGGAGGCTGCTGGTGAGAGCCAGGGAAGAGCAAAGAGAATTCCACATGATGGGCGGAGTCAGTGGCAGCCATTGCTTTGGAATAGGCTGTCTTCTTCTTCTTCCCACCTGCTCTGGAATCCTTTCCTCCCAGGATGGACCAGTTCTGGGGGCTGTGGGGAGCTTCAGCTGGTCTGGAGGTGCCTTCCTGTACCCTCCAAATAGGAGCCCCACCTTCATCAACATGTCTCAGGAGCACGCGGACATGAGTGACTCTTACCTGGGTGAGGCAAGGCTGTGGTCGGAGGGCCGGGCGGGAGACGGGCTGCCTGGGAAGGGCAGGGGCCCGGGGATGGGGAGTGGAAGCCTCTGTGCTGAGGCCTGGTCCCCTCAGGTTACTCCACAGAGCTGGTTGTTTGGAAGGGGTTACACAGCCTGGTCCTGGGGGCCCCCCGCCATCAGCACACCGGGAAGGTTGTCATCTTCACCCAGGTGTCCGGGCAATGGACGCCGAAGGCTGAAGTCACAGGGACCCAGGTTGGGTGTGGAGGAGGGTCTCCAGGGGCAGAGAGGGAGATGAAGGGGGTGTGGGGTCCAGCAGGGAGGGGCCGGTATCTGGGGAGAGGCGGAACCTGGCCCAGAGCAGGTGCAGGGGTAGGCAGGATGACTCCACGCTCTGCTCTCCAGATCGGCTCCTACTTCGGGGCCTCCCTCAGCTCCGTGGACGTGGACAGAGATGGCAGCTCCGACCTGGTTCTCATCGGGGCCCCCCATTACTATGAGCAGAGCCGGGGCGGGCAGGTGTCCGTGTGCCCCTTTCCTCGGGGGGTGAGTGGCTGGTGAGACTCGGACTGGGCGGGGTCTGGGTGTGGAGGGGTCGCCTGGGGTGGGACCTGACACTGTTTGTGTTCTGCAGAGGGCTAAGTGGCAGTGTGGTGCTGTCCTGCGAGGGGAGCAAGGCCACCCCTGGGGCCGCTTTGGGGCAGCTCAGACGGTGCTGGGGGATGTGAACGGGGACAGGCTGACGGACGTGGCCATCGGGGCCCCGGGAGAGCAGGAGAACCGGGGTGCTGTCTACCTGTTTCACGGAACCTCGGGACTGGGGATCAGCCCCGTCCACAGCCAGGTGAGGCCTCTCTGCTTCAGCCTCTTCTGTTCACCTCCTCCGCCCTGTCGTAGATTCACCTGACGCCGCCTCCTGTCACCAGCCTCGGCAGTGACCATTCCATTCCTCCTTTTAGTGGTTTACTTTCCTGAATTTCCCCAGGCCCAGCTAAGCACAAATTCTCTTTTCTCTCCTTTGACTCCAGACTTCAGAGTGTGTGGGCAGCTTAGTAGTTAAGAGATCACAGGCCCCAGGTCAAATGCCTGACCAGCCCTGTGAGCTGCGTGGCCTCAGTCAAGTGACCGATTTAGCCTCTGTGAGCCCTGGTTTCCTTCTATGGAAGGATGAGCAAACTCTATTGGCTTCTTGTAAAGATAACTCAGTGAGAGCACTAAGCACTCCATTCCTCAAATATTTATGAATGAACATACGTAATTTATGAATCAACGTGTAAACGATGAATAAATGAATCTATTATGCTCCCATCATTACGCTTTGATTTTGTCATTGACCTGCACCTTCGTGGTCCTCATTGGACCCAAAGTGCTCTCCTCTCTGCCTGTGGACTGTGGGGTCCTCACTTTGCTTGCTCTCCCCTCCTCCCCGCTCTTCAACTTCTCTACTCAGTGTCCTTTCCAAATCTTTCTTCTCCAACCTTTCCAATCCCCTTTCCTTGATTTGCACTGCTTTTATCCTTCCCTGACCAGCAGATTGCAGGCTCCCAGCTCTCCCCCAGGCTCCAGTATTTCGGGCATTCACTGAGCGGGGGTCAGGACCTCACCCAGGATGGACTGGTGGACCTGGCCGTCGGGGCCCAGGGGCACGTGCTGCTGCTCAGGTGACAACTCCCCTACTCCCCCCTTGCCTGCCCCTTGTGTCTGATTCACTAAGCTGCCCCTCCCCTTGTTCTCCTTCTGGGGGCCAGAGGCCCGTCCTCAGCCCCTCATGCACCCTCAGGAGCCTGCCGGTGCTGAACGTGGAGGTGGCTATGAGATTCACGCCCCCCGGAGGTGACAAAGTCTGTGTACCAGTGCTGGGAAGAGCTGCCCACCGCCCTGGAAGCTGGGGACGCCACAGTCTGTCTCTCCACAAAAGCTCACAGGACCAGCTAGGTGAGTTTCCTCCTGGTAGACCCAGACCCTCACTGCCCCGGAGAGGCCCCCAGCCCTATATCTTCAGGACAGAATGAGCCCAGGAACCCAAATCTCACCTCCATGCCCACCCAGCTGTCCTCCTCCCTCCCTCTTCCCACACCCGGGCCTCTAGGTTCTGTCTCCAGGACACATCCGAGGTCTGCCCTCTCCACCGCTTTCCTCGAGGACACGGCTTCGCCTTCCCACCCACTCTGAGCTGTGCCCATGGCTATTCTTGCACGCCCCCTGCACTCTCCACAGGGAACTAAACACTGCTTAACACCCCTCAACCGCCCCTTTCTTGCATTTATAAAGACCAGAAGTTTTGCCCACAATGACCCCATGATTTGGTCCCTCTCTGCCTTTCCAGCCTCACCTTGTCCCCTTCCGCCTACGCCATACACTTTTTTTCTTTTTCGGCCTGGCCACGTGGCTTGCGGGATCTCACTTCCCCCATCAGGGTTTGAACCCAGGCCCTCGGCAGAGAAAGTGCAGAGTCCTAACCACTGGACCTCCAGGGAACTCCTTTTTTTTTTTTTTTCGGTACGCGGGCCTCTCACTGTTGTGGCCTCTCCTGTTACGGAGCACAGCCTCCGGACGCGCAGGCTCAGCGGCCATGGCTCATGGGCCCAGCCGCTCCGCGGCATGTGAGATCCTCCTGGACCAGGGCACGAACCCATATCCCCTACATTGGCAGGCAGACTCTCAACCACTGCGCCACCAGGGAAGCCCCAGGGAACTCCTTTTTAATTAATGTGCCAACCTCCCTCTCCCTTCTGGTCTTAGCCACTATTCCTAGAGTTTGGGATTTTCCCCTCCCCGCTTTTCACCTGACTCCTGTTCATCCTCCAGGTTGGAGCTCAGACAAGGCCCATCCAGGAAAGCATCTCTGACCCCCAGTCTGAGTTAACAAGCCCTCCTGGGTACCACTGAGGATCCCACCCTTGCATGGATCTCGCTGTGATGTTATGTCATACGTGCTGGTCTCTGTTTCTAGGCTGTAAGCTTATGAGGGCAGGGACCATAATTCTCCACCTTCCACATGTATCCCCAGCACCTGGTACAGTTCATGGCTCACAGAAAGCGCTCAGCAAGTCTTTATTGCATGAAAAAATGAAAACAGAACATTTGCGCTTCTCTCACTTTCCGTCTTCCATTCCCCCTTCTGCTTCAAGTGACGTCCGAAGCTCTGTCATGTACGATCTGGCATTGGGCCCAGGTCGTCTGATTTCTCGTGCCATTTTTGATGAGACCAAGAACTGGACTTTGACTCGAAGAAAAACCCTAGGGTTGGGAGAGCACTGTGACACCATGAAGCTGCTTCTACCAGTGAGGACTTTGGGTTCTGGGAAAGGGAGAGGGAGGAAGGAGCCCAAGGCTAGCCTCTGGCATCTCCACTCCCTGCTGAGTGAGGTGGGAAGGGTGGGAGCCTGCAGCTGGAGAGGGGAAAGTCGGGCCCGAGGAACATGGCTCCACAGCGTGGATGGGGTGCTGTCTGGACAGCGGGGCATGGATGCAGTGGAGGAGAAGCCCGAGTAGTAGCAAGTAAGGAGGAGGAGAACGGGTTCTTGAATGCCCCTTCTCCCTCAGGACTGTGCGGAGGAACCCCATCATCCTGCAACTCAACTTCTCCCTGGTTGGGAAGCCCATCTCCTCATCTCAGAACCTGCGCCCTGTGCTGGCTGTGGGCTCACAGGACCGCTTCACTGCTTCTGTGAGTCTTCCGATGAAGTCCCAGGGATGTGCTGACTTTCACTGTGTCTCCATGTGCTTAAGAGCCAACAGTGGCTCCCACCAACCACTTCAAATCTAAAATGCTTCCACCCAGTTACCACAGCCCTGCCCAGCTTGGATCCCTACACACATCCCAGCTGGTTATCCACTTCACCCCAACATAAACTCTCTGGTTCTCATTCTGCAGACCCTTCCCAACTTTTCTCATTTCTATCTCTGTGCCTTTGTCCATGTCGTCTTTCTTCCTTCCTTCCCTTCCTTCCTTCCTTCCTTCCTTCCTTCCTTCTTTCCTTCCTTCCTTCCATTTTCACATTACAATTCCCTTATTCTTTCAGAGGAGACACTGTCAAGGGATCATAGGTACCTAGAACTGCTCATAGTTTTCCTAGTAAGGGCACATAATAAACAGATTAAGACATTGTTTGGAAGTTGATTTTTACATCCTTCCTGCATGCCATATTTCTTATTTGGAAAACGTCACCTTCTCTCCACCTCAAAGATCTCCTCTAGTCCCCAAAGCCCCAGTCTGATCTCCCTCTCTTTTGAACACTACACTCAGAGTCTGTCACCTCTTCTCTGGCCTCCTGTTGTGTCATGGTGATACCAGGCCAAATATCATGTTTGACTGGACTCATAGCCATCTGTGTCTACTTCTGTGGCTCCTTTGGTATTGAAGGTTCCTTGAGTGCAAGAACCGTGTCTCATTCACCTGTAGTTCCCACCTTTCCTGACCCAGAACCTGTCCCATCATTGACAATCTATAATGTTTGCTGAATGGTTGTTCCAGTGAGTGTTGGATTTGACTCCTCAGCTAAGCTTTCTGTTCCTTGAAGCCAAGGATCTTGTCTTATCTTCCCTTTATATTCTAACTGCCCCTCCCTCATTGCCCTACTTGCCAGTGTTTAGCACAGCGCTGGGTGCAGGGTGGGTGCTAATACTCAATGTCGATGAGTGCTCCTAATGAGGGGATTGGAGATGGATTAAGACATGGATGGGAAGAGAATATACTGTTTTGCTGCAGCTCCCCTTTGAGAAGAACTGTGGGCAAGGGGACCTGAGTGTCAGCCTCAGCTTCTCAGGGTGAGTGAGCTCTATCTCCTTTCATAGCCAGACACTCAAGCTTTTGGGTCTCCCATCCTCATAGGATGAGAAGTCCTTGTGTTTCCCTTCCGCTCTCCTTCTAACAAAGAAATGCTTTTGATTGGATGGTTATCAGCCTGTAGCTCGTGAGTTCCCACAGCCCTGCTTCAATTCCAATCTACTTCCTTGAGTCTCTGTCCCAGTCTTGTCCTTCCTTGTTCAGCCTGCAGACCCTGGTGGTGGGGAGCTCCCTGGAGCTCAATGTGACAGTGACCGTGTGGAATGAGGGTGAGGATTCCTATGGAACTGTGATCAGCTTCTACTATCCAGCAGGGCTGTCCTATCGACGAGTGTTAAGAATCTAGGTAAACAGCTCCCTTGGGCTCTAGTGGCTGGGACCGTTCTCCTGCTCTGGTTTATAATAGGTTCCTCTTAATTTCTTCTATAATGAAATATAAACACACACACACACAAGTGCATAAGGCATATGTATAGTTTAATGACTAACTATTAAGCAAAAGTGTATGCAGTTAACATCCGGGTCAAGAAGTAAAGCAATGCTAGCACCTCCAGAAGCCCTTTCGCTATGTGCCTTCCCTCATCCTAACCTCACACTCTTCCCAAAGGTAATCACTATTCTGACTTTGCAATGATCAATTCCTTGTATTTCTTTATAGTTTTACCACCCATAAATACATCTCTAGGTAATACTGTTGGGTTTTGCCAATATTTGAACTTTATATGAATGGAGACATGTTGTATGTTCCTTTTTTCCTGCAAGTTTTAAATTATAGTTGATTTACAATCTTATATTAGTTTCAGGTGTACGACATAGTGATTCAATATTTTATAGATTATACTCCATTTAAAATTATTATAAAATATCGGCTATATTCCCTGTGCTGTATAATATATCCTTGTATCTTATCTATTTTATACACAGTAGTTTGTACCTCTTAAACCACGACCTGTATCTTGCTGCTGCCCCCTTCCTCTCCCCACTGGTAACCACTAGTTTATTCTCTAGATCTGTGAGTCTGTTTCTGTTTTGTTATATTCACTCGTTTGTTTCATTTTTTTAGATTCCAAATATAAGTGATAACAATGTTGTATGTTCTTTTGTGTCTTTCTTCTTTTCTTCAATATTATGCTTGAGAAATTCATCCATGTTGTTGCTTGTGGCTATGGAATATTTTCACTGCTATTTAGAATCCCTTTGCATGACTAAATCACAATTTATTTACCCATTCGATGATCGATGGTCATTTGAGTTGTTTCTGATTTTGGCCATGACTATTCTTGAACATGTATCCTGGTGCCCCTACACATAATATTTGGAAAGTATATACCACATGTGGAATTGTTGGGTCATTGGCTATGTGTACCTTCAATTTTAATAAGTAAAGCCAAGCCATTTTCACCTATTTACACTTCCATCGGCAATGTATGAGAATTCCTGTGGCTTTACAGCTACCCTGACACTTGGCATTGTCAGACTTTTAAATTTTTGTTGATCTGGTGGGTGAGTAACTGTATTTCTTTGCAGTTTTAATTTGTATTTCTCTAATGAGGTTGAGCAACTTTTCATTTGGACCTCTTGGTTGTTTGGATTTCTTCTTTTAGGAAGTGCTTGTCCAACTCTTTTTCTCATTGAGTTGTAAGAGCTCTTTGCATATTCTGGTTACTCGTCCTCTTCCAGTTATATGTGTTCAAATATCTTTTCCATTCCTACTGCTTGTCTTTTCAGTCTCTTTATAGTGTCTTTTAATAAATAGATGGTCTTAATTTCGTTGTGGTTGATTTTCATCAAAATTTTCCTTTGTATTTAGTGTTTTATGTGTGTTTCATGTTTAAGAAATATATCCCTACTCCAAGGTTATATATAAAGACATTCCCTTATATTATCTTCTAAAAGATTTCTAATTTTGCCTTTTCACATTTGAGTCTTTAATCCAGTCAGGATTTATTCTAATGTATGGAGTGAGGTAGGGATCCAGTATTTGCTTGTTTGTTTGTTTTGTATGGGCCAATTTTCCCAGGACCATTTACTGAAAACTTGTCATTTCCCCTACTGCTTTGCAATGCCACCACTGTTATACATCAAGCCCATATATACATGTGGGTAAATTTTTAAAAATTCTTTCTCCTCCTCTGGAAGCAACCCCATCAGCATCCCCTGCGCCTGGCATGTGAGGCAGTGCCCACTGGGAATGAGGGCCTGAGGAGCAGCAGCTGTAGCATCAACCACCCCATCTTCCAAGAGGGCACTAAGGTCAGAGCTTCCCCCCAATCCTCATCACTCTTCTCCCTTGTCCTGGCCCATTTCCTTCCCTCACTCCACCATGGCCTTCCCTATCCCCAACCCTTCTTTCTTCCTCCCTCAGGGCACCTTCATAGTCACATTTGATGTCTCCTACAAGGTCACCCTGGGAGACAAGTTGCTTTTGAGGGCCAATGGAAGCAGGTGAGCCCCGGCCACATATGGTGTGTCCCTCGCTCTCCTTTTTCATGCCCCAGCCAGAAACTCCTCTCCTGAATTCCTTCCCAACCAGTCACCCCTCTCTCCCTCCAGTGAAAATAATAAGCCTACATCCAACAACACTACCTTCCAGCTGGAGCTCCCAGTGAAATATGCTGTCTGCACAGTGATCAGCAGGTACTTAATTCCTGGCCCTCCCCTTGGACCTTCCTCCAAGCCTAGTACCTCCCGCTGCAGGCCAGCCTGCTCTTTTGAGGATGGGTATCTAAGCTAGCCACTCTGATTCCCCACATGGCGATTCTTGTGACCAGCCATATATTTATACCATAGCACCATATCCCACAATTCTTGGTTCTTCTCTGACGAACTGACCTGCTGGTGGGACACACATATCTTGCCACCACTGTGTATCCTCTTCTCTCTCTCCAAGGTGCAGGTTTCCTTTAACATGAAGCCAGTTCCAGCCTTTGTGCTAAACACGAATACGCTGAATTGAAGCTACTAGATTAGACTGAGGCTTTTCTGAGCACTCTGAAGTGGGGAGCTTGTGCCCAACAGGATATGGTCTGTCACCACACAGAGTGAAGAGAAGGTCAGGTTTTCACAAAACTCAGAGGACAGCAGAGATGTGAGAAACTGCTGGGACGGTTTTTAAGAGCCCAGGGCTGAGCAGCCCACAGGAAAGGCAAGTGTAGGGCTGCTGCTCTGGGTTCTAAAGGTTGGGGAAGGGGCCAGGCTGGGAGCAGGACAAGGAGCCCCACCCACCTGGCTAAATTCCAGAGGCTTTAGAGTTGATCAGAAGCTTATAATATTGCCATGGGACAGAGTTTGCTGCTGCTGCTGCTGTGCCAATTTTTAGGGGAACTAGAGAGGGGGTTCAGGCAGTGTCATTGCCCTTCCAAATTCCATGTGTGAATGTCCCCTTCTATCCATGGGAAAACACTGAAATTTACAATAAGAGCTTACAGTCATATATACTTACGATATGCCAGGCCTTGTTTTAAGTACTTTACATGTATTTACATTTATTTAACCACTCTATTAGGTCTGTGATATAGCTATTGTAAATTTATTTATTTATTTATTTATTTTTGGCTGCGTTGGGTCTTCGTTGCTGCGCACGGGCTCCCTCTAGTTGCGGCGAGCGGGGTCTACTCTTCGTTGCAGTGCGCGGGCTTCTCATTGCGGTGGCTTCTAATGTTGCGGAGCACAGGCCCCAGGCTCGCTGGCTTCAGTAGCTGTGGCACGTGGGCTCAGTAGTTGTGGCTCCTGGGCTCAGTAGTGGTGGCTCGCAGGCTCTAGAGCGCTGGCTCAGTAGTCGTGGTGCACGGGCTTAACTGCTCCGCGGCATGTGGGATCCTCCTGGACCAGGGCTCGAACCCGTGTCCCCTGCACTGGCAGGCAGATTCTTAACCATTGCACCACCAGGGAGGTCCTGATATAGTTATTGTTATACACCTTTTTGCCAACAAGGAAATCCAGAGGTTTTTTACCCCTGTCATTCAGCTGGTAAGTGGCAGAACCAGGAATCAAACCCAGGTGGTTTGGCTCCAGAGCTGTGCCCATGGCCATATACTACGTGCCTCTCCAAGGATTGGAGAAGCTGAGTGATTTACTCAAATTTGTAAAGAGGTTTAGAACTGGAAGATTTTAAGGTGGGAAAACTGAAGCAGAGAGAGAAAGGGGTAGGATGGGGAGCGGCGAGGAAGGCTAGTATACTAAGTGGAAAAATAGATTTTAACATTCATGGCACTGCTACAAACCTCATCACAAGTCTGTTACAGGCATTATTGTTAGCATCTCCGTTTTCAAGAGGGAAAAACTACAGGGGCCCAGAGAGGTTAAGGAATTTGCCTTAAGTTACTCAGGTAGGAAGCGGTGGACCTGAGATGTGAACCCAGGTGGTCTGGCCTATGTGCTTAATCACCAAGCTGACAGTCACATCTGTGGGAAAACTGCGGGGCCCATGGAGTTTCTGTAGGGCTGGCCTGGCTTCTGCACACTAGCTGCTGGTGAAACCTGCAGGTCCCTCTGCTTGTTTGCCTGATTCCACTGAGCCCTTAGATGTTAAACCCTGGGAAGGCAGGGGTTATGGCTTGTTAACCGTTGAGTCTCCAGAGCCAAGCACGCAGCCTACCAGATGATGAATGTTGACTAAAGGAGGCCGTGGATGGATGGATGGATGGATGCATGGATGGATGGATGCATGGATGGATGGATGGATGGATGGATGCATGGATGGAAAGCCACCTGCAGCCTGGAACATTTATGTCCACTCTGTGGGCTTGCATCCACACACCATCTTTCCTCCCAATTACTTAACTGCCCCAGGAGAGCCGGATCTATTTTCTTCATTCCCATCATGGAAGGGCTTGCACCCCACCTCCAGGCCTTGGTTCCCTCAAGTCCCCTTAGGGTTATTTGCTCTGGCAGCTGCCTCTGCAAGCATTACGGGAGGCCAACCGTGTACCTAGTAGAGAAAGCAATGGGAACGCCTTTTTCCCGTGGGAAATGTTCAGACATGACGAGAGGTCATGTTCAAGTTGGGCCTTTAAGTGAAAATTTCCAGAAGGGGAGTGGGTAAGGACATTCCAAGCAGGAAGAAAAAGAGCTTGAGCAAAGTCATGGGGAGAGGAAAGGGCCGGGGTCTCAAGGGACAAGCTAGCAGTTCTGGGGGACGGGGGAAAAGGCCACGAAGGAGAGGGGCTGAAGCTGAGGCTGCAGAGTCACAGGGGGACCATCATCGCTCCCCTGGGTCATCCGCTGGGCCCAACAGAGGCCTCAGCACAGGCTGGCGTGCAACTGAGGATGGTCCCAGGGGTGTTCTTCACCAACAAGCCCTCTCTCTCTCCAGGCAGGAAGAATCCACCAAGTACTTCAATTTTTCAGCTTCTGACCAGAAGAGCAGAAAAGAGGCCGAGCATCGATATCGTGTGAGAGGCTGGGGAATATCCACGTCTGTCCCTCCCATGTGAACGTAGGAAGCTGGTGGGCAAGGATGGAGAGGAGTCGAGGGCTGAAGCCAGGAAAGGTGGCGGGGGATTTGGGATGCTCCAGGGACCACAGTAATGTTTTGTCTCTACTTTCTGCAGGTGAGTAACCTGAGTCAGAGAGATCTGGCCATCAGCATTCATTTCTGGGTCCCAGTCCTGCTGAAAGGTGTGGCTGTGTGGGATTTGGCTATGGTGGCCCCTTCATGGGTGCCTGCCTGTCTTTTGTCACTCTCCAGGATCTGATCCCACAGTGCCTCATACCCTCTCACCAGTGGACTGTGGATCCTTCTATGGCTATTCCCCTCTCTTCCTAGAGTCTCCCCTGTGTGTCAGAGAGGGAACCTCCCCAGCAACCTGACTTCCAGACCCAGATTCCAAGCAGTCTCGTGCTGGTGAGAAGGATCCCACTGCAGAACGAGCTAGGAGCTGGGGGATCCAGGGAAATGTACTGCTAGCTGTATCACCATGTTTACGTTCTGTGATTGTCCATCTATTCCCCACCCCAAATGTGATAGATTTCATTTTCTCTTGTGGTTCCTCCTTAAGTGAAGACCCTCCTCAGTTTCATTCCTCTCCTGTCCCCAGGACTGCTCCACTGCTGCCTGCCTGAGGTTCTGCTGTGACATCCCCTCCTTTGGCATCCAGGAGGAACTTGACTTTATTCTGAAGGGCAACCTCAGCTTCGGTTGGGCCAGCCAGGTGTGTCCCTTCCCAGACTCAGGTGGGGCCTGATGTGTCTGTGCCCACCTCAAGCCAGGGTGTTTCTCTAAGCCCAAGCCCTCCCCAGAGCTAGTTCCCAGCCCTCCCCTTCTTTTTTGTAGACTTTGCAGAAGAAGACACGTGTCGTGAGTGTGGCTGAAATAATTTTCAACAGATCCGTGTATTCCCAGCTTCAAGGACAGGAGGCATTCTTGAGAGCCCAGGTAGTGACCATGTGGTAGGCAGTGACCAGGCTGATCAGAGAGCTCCTGATGCTAAATCTGTGATGCTGGGTGGGGGGCTTGCAAGCCTGGAGGGAGGAAGAATGGAGGTCCCTAGGCAGGCAACTGTTCTAAGCCCATGAGTGCTTCTGTATCTCACCCCTTGGAGTAGAGACTGATAAAGAAAGGGAGGGAGTTAAAGATTGGGAAACTGGGAGGAGTCTGGAACAGCAAGAGGCCTGATGCTTTCTGATCTCCAAATCAGGTGGAGATGGTGCTAGAAGAGTATGAGGTCTATAACCCCATCCCCCTCATTGTGAGCAGCTCTGTGGGAGGACTGCTGTGCTGGCTCTCATCACAGCTACACTGTACAAGGTGAGTGCTTTCATCTCACTCTTGACACCACCAGCACCCGACCCCAGCCCTCCCACAGACAGGAGGGTATAGCAGGAAGAACTCAGACAGTGAAGTCAGGCAGGTCCGGGTACACATTTTCGCTCTTACTCGCTGTACAATGTCAGGCAAGTTGCTCAACCTCTCTGAGGCTCTTTCATCATTTTCAAAATGAAATAATGCCTACATCATAGAGTGACTGAAATGAGACAAACATGAGGCCAGGGTATGCAGAATCTTTGCTTTTCTGCTATGGATGATCTGTACGGCTACTGAGCTGGGCACAGAGAAGACACTCAGTACGTGATAGCTGTTGTTCACATAAGTGTTCTGGCACACAAATACAAGTCAGTTTGGCTTCCTTCTTCTGTCTCAGCTTCTTCCTACTCCCAACTTCCTACCCTGCCCTCTGATCCAGATTTTCTGATTTATTTCCCCTCACAGTGTGGCTTCTTCAAACGTCAATACAAAGAAATGATGGGTGACAACCCTGAAGACACTGTCACATTCAATGGGGAGTATCTCAGCTGTGAGGCCCCCAATCAGCCTTTGTCCTAAGAATCCACTTTCCCATTTAGCTGTACCCCCATGGGCTGACTTCCATGGGAATAACTTCTGTGTAGATCTGGACTGGCCTGAGCAACTTGCCAGGTGCTAAGCCATCTTCCCAAGGCATCGAAAGGTTTTTATATTTTTACATATCTACCAGACTTCTTCAGTGATGACCCACTTTTTACAGAAGCGGGCGTGATGCCAGCATGAATTCTCATATGTATAAGAACTGTCACATTAAATGAGGATGTTTATAACACGATTTCCTTGCATGAAAGAGCTCTAATCTAGGGACCTGAATGCTGTTCTAGTAAGGGGGGAGGGGCTGCTTGTGGGTACAGAAAATGTTCTCTCTTTCTCAGGTGACTGGGGCCTGTGAGCATCTTTTCTTAATGGTGCCGTGAGTAGTTTTAGGAGAGGAGGGCAAAATAAGTTCAGTGTGTGTGTGTGTGTGTGTGTGTGTTGGTCATGGGTTTCAGCTTAGGCGTCAGGCTCCTTGGTAATGGCAAGTGAATTGACTGTCCTAGGAGGTGAATGAAATGTCCAGAGCTTGTCTGAACCAACATCCCCCTTGAATGGGGTCCCCCAAAACTAGGAGAACCAGGCTTCCAGAAAGGGAGCATCTAATTTCCCCCAACTAATACAGAAGACCCATTAAAGGTGGTCATAGAGAATGACCAAAATATTCCAAATGCAGAATTAGGTCATGAAGATCTACACAGAGGGCTGTAGATCCTGTGTTTGAAATCACAATTGTCTCTAGACAGCGGGAAATCACAGAGGCCCTGAATGTGTGTCAGGAAAAGAGTGGTACCTCAGGATCTGCAGCCCTGAGTCTCCACCGGGCCTCCGACGAGCTGCCTGAATTTAAGTCATTTAATCTCTGAGAATCTCAAATTCCTCTTCTGGAGAAGGTGGAACCAAACTTAGACCTTGCTCCCAGAGTTACTGTGAGAAGTCAGTGTATGTTAAAGCCCTTTACAGCCTAGAGCCCTCATTATTAATAGGTGAGAGGGGAGGGGCCATCTCCTACCTGTCCATCGAGGCTGTTCCCTCAAGTCCCTCCCAAGTCAAGGTCTCCGGAAGACCACGTGGAGCGCCCACTGCACTTTGCGCACAAGCCCAGCTCTAGCCATGGACGCCCCGCCCCGTGGTTCCCATGGAGCCCGCGGCCACACACGGCTTCCACACTTTTATTGCGTCTGGGGGCATCGGCCAAGGCCTCAAGGCTTTTCGTAGCCCGTGGGCAGAGGGTTGACACGGGGATTGTGGAAAAGAGTGTGGTTGCCGTCTCCCCAGGAGTAGGGCTGTGGAGAGAGGGAGGGGGGAGCGAGGCGTCAGCCTGGGGGTCCCCCGCACCCCCTCGCTCGCGCCCGCGCGGGCCAGTGTACCTTGGAGCGGATCCGGAGGTGATGGTAGGGGATGAACTCTGGGCGCTCGTGGTGGCCCGAGTGGAGCCAGGAGTTGAGGGTGCAGAGGGCCACGCTCGGGAGCGCCAGCGCGAAGGTCAGGAGGCGCCAGGTGCGGGCTGCAGCGGGGAAAGGCAGGGCTGAGAGAGAGACGGACTGGGCGGGAGGGGGAGGCGTCGCCAGGACCCTGGAACGTCCCAGAGGCAGGAGTGGGGGACAGATGGACAAGGTCAGGAAGCCACAGGGTCAGGCCCTGGCTGCAACTCACCTCCTGTCCCTCCGTGGTCTCCCTTGGCCGCACTGGCCAAGCCCCGACCCAAGGACCTCAGAGGCAAAGCCATGTCAGTGAGAGAAGCTGGGGACAACGGCACCGTCCTTTCCTTCTCCTTCACTGAGGCCTCGGTTCCCCTTCCCTCTGTTCCGGCCAATCACCTGTTGAGTCTGTAACGTGGGTGGCTATTTTTAGGGGGTTTCTATATTTAGAACGAGGCCTGCCTGGAGGTCTTTCTCTCCAGACGGCTGCTGTGCTGTGCGTCTTATTTTGGTAAGGGGACATTTAAAATACAATATGCCATTCTTTTTATAGTTGTGGGGAAATATTTTGTTCAATACTGTATTCCCAGTGGCTGGCACACAGTAGGCCTTTAATAAATATTTGTAGAATGAATTGTGTCCTTTTGAATCTCAGGTTTTTTCAGGTGTAAACTGTATAATAATTTGTACCTTAAATGATCTTTATGAAGTTTAGGTAAAGCAATAGAGGATTGTGCCAGCCTAGTCTGGCACGGAACAGGAGCTCAGTATATGTATTAGTCACAGTTCTTTGCAAAGAGCAGAACTCCCTTTAACTAGCTTTAAAAAGATACGCAATTGTGAATCTTAGGTAGCTCGCGGTATCTCTGGTACCGCCAGAAACAAACCATTCTGTGGGCCAGCTGTGCAGACATAGTTCACACTGCTGGACACTGAGTGCCAAAAACGTCATCAATGCTGCCATGGAAAGTGTCACCAAAATTTAATCAGTAGTCAATCTAAGAAAGACATAGGGACTTCCCTGGTGGTCCAGCGGGTAAGACTCCCCGCTCCCAATGCAGAGGGCCCGGGTTTGACCGCTGGTCGGGGAACTAGATCCCACATGCATGCTGCCACTAAGAGCCCGCATACCACAACTAAGACCCGGAGCAGCCTAAATAAATAAATTAATTAATAGATTAATTAATTAATTTTAAAAAAAAGAAATGGAAAATTTTATTGGAGGCAACCTGAGGGTTATAACCTGGCAGACAGTCTTTCAGAAAGCTCTGAGGGTTGTTCCACCTGTTAGAGGTCGAGATACAGTTATGTAGGTTTTTGAGACAAAGGGTTATACATCAATGTAACATACTGACAGTTTACATACTCCAACAAGGCATGTAGTGGGCTATTGTGACCCCTTACAGGATTGAGAAAGGAATGTTATCTCCAAGGAATTACCTTGCTGGCACCAGGAGGAAATTGCTATTTTTGGGGGGTGGAGGGGAGCGAGTAGGCCATTCCTGTGTCGTCTAAGGGTATCTAGTTAATGTATAAGGCAGATACACAATGCACACTAAAGGGGAGGGGGTAGTGGCTCAAACGGGCCGAGAATTTTATGCTTAAAAATTTCCTTGTCCCGCCTTAAACATTTTATTTCATCAAAAGCTAGATTCTTCCACCCTCATCCCCTCTTGAAAATGGATTCTTCATGAAACTTGCATCCTTCAGTTGCTCTCTTCTCAATCAAGGAATCATGTGGGCACCAACTGGCCACACCTAGGTCATTGCCTGTGCCATAGCTTCGGGAAAGGCTGGGAAATCTAGTTCTGGCTTCTGCCTTCAGGAGGTTAGGAATTGTATCTTGGAGAAAATGTAGGACGAGTATTCCAAAGATGTTGGACAGCCACAAACTTGACAAGTGTCTACTGCTAAGTATGTTATTTCAGTCTGAAAAATCAGACTACTTGGAGGAAAAAGGAGAAAGAATATGCAGGGCTGTGTGAACCCTAGAGGCTCTAGAAAACTGCAAGACAGGGCAGGGCTGACGTCTGCCTTGTCCGTGGTTCTTTCCTCAGCACCAGCACAGAACCTGGCATGAAGTGGGTGCTCTAAAAAGGTGTATTTAATGAATGTTTGGACCGTGTTACTTTGGATAACGCTATAGAAACACCTTTTCAGAGCTACAGTCCAACAGGATGCCCCCAGCTTTGATCAAGAGCTGATGTACCTGATGTGAATTTAATATATGAAAGAAAAATAAGTTTTATGTATTGATACCTAATCTAAATATATGAAAGAAAAATGAGGAAGGTATATTTTCAAGAAGGGTCTCCATACCTGTTCCTCCTGATGGGTCTAAACTGGTTCTACATGTCTTTCTTCAGCTTTTTGTTTTGTTTTGTTTTTAGTAACCTTGTTGAACAGTTAAATGTTATATAGTGTTGCTAAATTATTCCCACGCCCTCACTGAGCTATAACAGAATTCTTCCTACAGTTGCTTTTTCCCAGTTGTATTTTGGAATTGCTGCTGAGAAGATGGGACCTTATTCCAGTTAAAGTTACTTGGCTTCTTTGTCCACACACAGTCCCCTCAAGCCCCCTCCCTACTGAATGATTATGGCTCTTGGAGAAAACAAAAATGAACGGGGTATTTTTACCTGAAAAGGTTCTAGGCGCCCCTCTCTCCACTCAGTTTTGCTGGTCGTCACCAAACAATTCCTTGGGGATTCCCATCCCTTAGCCTCAGCTTGGAAGTTCCCACTGAGCTGGTACTCTGTCGATGGCCTGAGGGTTGCCAGCATCTTCTGTTACTGTTGCCCTCTTGTGGCGCACCTGCCCAAGTACCCCTCCTGCTGAAAATCTGATGAGCCCATATTGATAAATGTATACACTGGCATAACCACCAACACAATCAAGGTATAGAACATTTCCATCACCCCTCAAAGTTCTTTCACGCCCCTGTGCAGTCAGCCACTCTCTCTCCCACCCAGCCTCAGATAATCACTGATATCTGCTTTCTGCCCCTATAAATTAGTTTTGCCTATTGTAAATTTTCATCTAAATGTAATTGCATATTATGCATTCTTTCGTGACTGGCTTCTCTTGTCTAACATCATTTTGAGATTCAAAAGGAACAACTTCTCCTCTCTCCTGTCCCTCAAATCTCACAATTTACAGAGGGATTTAGGGAGGTAGTAGGCGAAGGTATGTTACAGAAATCCTTATATCCTTGGTATGGACAAGCATAATATTAAGTGATGTCTCAACATCAGTGATTAATAAATTATTTCCCTTGTGTTTTATAAAAACTATTTAAAAATTTTTGTTGGTCTTCCCAACCATGTGCCATTAGCATAAAAAAAATGTGGAGTTCGATGAGAACTCCAACAGCATAGAAGTGCCTCAGAGCATCACCCATCCCGTTTCCAGGTTTGCTACCTAAGTCCTGTTTTTCTTTTTACTTATTATTCTTATCTTTTCATGTGTACTCTTTTTATTTTTTATTTTTTTAATTTTTGGCTGTGAGGCTTGTGGGATCTTAATTCCCCAATCAGGGATTGAACGGGGGACCTCGGCAGTGAGAGCACGGAGTCCTAACCACTGGACCGCCAGGGAATTCCCCTACCCAAGTCCTTGACTCCGCTTTTCCCCTAGCTCTGCACCTCCAACTCAAGTCTCTTCAGGCACCACATCCTTTTTGTTCTACTTCAGAAAGATTTCTCAACTCCATCCTCTCCTCTCTGTTGCCAGTTCTACTGCCTTAAGTGCAAATCCTTGTCATCATTTGCCTGGATTATTGCAAAAGACTCCTTATCAGCCTCCCCTGCTTCCAGTCCCTGCATTCTGGTTTATCATCCATATAATCCACCAGTGATAGTTCTCCCTTAAACCCCAGACTCCAGCATTAAATCTGATGTCACTCCCCTGCTTCAAAGCACCTGTGCCTAAACGCCACCCACAACATGGCCTACAGAAGAGTTCAAATGCTTCAGTACAGACAGCAGAGCTCAGCCTGGCTTTGCCCCCCCTCTGCAGCTTTAATCGCCATGGCCTTTCACACCTCTGTGCTTTTGTACTTATTTTACTTCCAACTGCCCAGAATGCCCTTCCCCCTTTCCTGTCACCTAAACTTGTCCTACTTATCACGTGAGCCCCAGCTCCATTGAAAGCTTTCCCAAATTCTCCTATCACACTTGGTGTGGTGACTGTTGCAGTGGCATTGAGAACCATCAGGAACGTCTGGTCACATGTCTGACTCCCCAGTAGACTGAGCTCCGCGAGAGCAGAGGCTCTGGCCTAGTGCCTGACACAGTAGGCCCCCAATAAATGGTAACTGAATCAAGGAACCACTTCCGGCTGCTCAGGTTTGCTTATGCTAAGACTCAGATTCTTTTATCTTTGTTGTCCTCCCAAGTTACAATGTGGACACACTTGGAAAGTTAACCAAAGGGACCATGAAAGTGACCACACCCAATCTAAGTCTTCCCAGTCACTTTGCCCGCCAGTCAATGAGATCATGGTTATTTCTATAGCAATAACAGAGAAAAGCAACTAAAAACAATGCTGTTTACTTGGGTCCAGTGCATTTCATCTACACATCTGTACTAATGAGATTATCTGTTCTAAGAATTTCCGCACGTTGATTAAACCTCACAACTAACCAAGAGAGGGACTATCACCCCATTTTACAGATGAATAAACTGAGGCACCGAAAGGTTTTAACCTTGCCAGTGCTCATCCATACGATAAGTGGCAGAACCAGGACCCAAACGGTCTGGCTCAAGAGAGCTTCCTGCTAATTTCTCTGCTATAATGCCTATCTCATTAGGACAATTTTGAAAAAGAAACTACCTTTCCTCCATAATCCCACCACTTCTAAGAATAATATCATCATGTCTGCATGTTTCTTCAGGCTTTGCCAACATGCCTACATATTCTGACTACTCTATAGTCATAGTTTAGCTACTGAACAAGAGAAAACTACTCCAAGCAAAAGATGAATCTAATTTTGCTTTCCAAAAAGAATTTGTGCATTCTTTTTTCACTTGTGAACATTTTCTGGCTCATTCATATTCTTTCATAAGGATATTTTAATGGCTACATACAATTTTTATTTAAAATCCCACATTTTATTCATTTCTTTTATTATTGGAATGTCATTACTACAGAAAATGCTGTCATGAGCATGTTCAGGCCACGCACAGAGCTTATTTTTTTTGAATCTCTTGTGTAGAAATCGTCCTCAGGAGTGCAGCTGATGCCCTATGTAAGAAAGGGCCTTTGGCCTTCATAAAGTAGACACTCTTCTGAAAATCTGAATGGCCACAGTTCAATTTGCTCGTGTCTGAGACTGAGCCAAGCCTGATGACCGTGGCCCATTCATGGTCTTGGGGGCCCTAGGAAAACCACAGCAGTTCTGGCAATGCTCTCTGAGTCAGCTGGGACACAGTCAGTGCAGTCAGCCCTTGTGACAATTGAAAGTGCCACAGGTTGCCAAAAACTTCGATCTTGTTAGCCACCATAATCCACCACTCTGTGACTATCATAGCTCTCCCCTCCTTCATTCCCTGTCTAGCCTGGGCTTTCCTTACCTCTTCCTGAGATTATTGTCTCTTTCTTCCAACTGCCTTACATAAGGCTGTCAGATACGTTTCTTACTGTAGGGCAGAGCTTCCTTTTTCCACAGCCTGGGACACATAGAAAATGTTAACAATGATTTGTGCAGCACACTGGGATAAAGGGTTGAGGCTGCTCCCAGCTGGAGGGGCCTGGCCTAGTGCTTCTGGCCATCCCAGGCCCCACCCATCTGTCCTAGGGGTTAAAGCAGTGGTCTCAACCCTGGCTGCACACTAGAATTAACCAGAAGTTTTACAAAATTCTTTTGCCTAGGCTGTACCCCAGAGTAATAACAATAACGTACAGCCAAGGTTGAGAACCTTTGAACTAAAGGGATATCTCAGGTTATCCTCAGTAACCTCCACAGGTTACTCCTTCCTTCACTGCAGTGTTTCCCTTCTGAGCAATGGGTCCAGGGTATCAATAGACTAAGATCGAGTCCTGAACTTGGGTGTGTGCAGCCCTCAGTAGCTGGCCTCAGTGTCACATGATGATAAAATTTAACTTAACCAAACCGTCTAAGCCTACATGATTGTGTCCGGGCTGGGGGTACACAGTGGCCTAGTGGAGAGCTGAGAAAGCTTAACCTGACGGAAGGCGGGTGCGCGGGGTGGGGTAGCGTGGTGAAGGCAGAACGCAGCGGACACCTTGGGAACAGTAGTAGAGGCCCGGATATTAAGGCGGGAGGGGCTGTGGTTGCTTAAGGGAGTTAATAGAATAACTGGACTCCAGGAAGAGAACGGAAGGTGGAAAGCTGAAAAGGGCAGTGGAGGTGCTCGTCCCGCCCTTTCAACCCCGGATAACACCCGTGTGCTTTCGGGGCTCATGGGGTGCCGCCTCAAAGGGGCTCGGCGGAGGCGTGTGTTCAGAAACGCCCCCTGCTCTAGGTGGAGGCGGCGGGCCGGGCTGCTGCCCATCGCCAGCTCTTACCCACTGAGACCCCGCACCTGCGCGTCTCCTGCATGACACAACCGAGGTGCAGCCGAGACGGGGCCAGTCGCCCCCACGTTCCGGAGAGGGCCAGACCCCAGTTCCGGGAAAGCCATCCGTGGCGTGGCAGAGGGCCCAATCCCGAGAGGGCTGACACCCGAGAGAAGGCTGAGAAAACGCGGCGGCGGCGGCGGCGCCTAGCTCGGCTGCGAGGGACGCAGCCAAACCTCCACGGCTGGCAGCCTCCGCGGCGCCTTCTGGGAAATGTAGTCCCCGCAAGGGGCCGAGACCCGGATGCGGAGGGTCCCGGGCATCCTTACTCAACCTCCGGCAGGGGGCGCTCCATCCCCCGCCGCCCTGCTTGCTTCTCCTCCCCAAAACCCGCCCCACCTGTCCCCAGGCCTTCCCAAGATGGGCCGAACCGGTCAGAGCAGTGAGCACACCATAAAGAGCCACCGAGGAACCACATCCCAGTCCCTAACTAGAATGTGAGAGGAAGTAGCCGGCTGGGGCGCCCGGGCGAGCGAGCCCTGGTGGAGGTGACCTGGCCTAACGTGGTGTGGTGGTACCTAAAACCTCTCGCTAAGGAAAGACGGAGAGTGAGGAGCTGGCCTCTGGCAGAGAATTTAAGGGAACGCCCCCAAACTCAGTAATCAAGAGAAGACATTGCAACGCGATATTTCAAAAAATCAAAATGAATGCAAAAAATTCATGGTGAACAAAATATCAAAATATCGAAGATTTAAATAAAGACAGGCATCAACCCTGTATTTTCTCCACCCTGCCTCACTCAACTCACCCTAATCATGGCCCTGGTTCCAATAAAACTTTATTTACAAAAGCAGGTAGCTGGCACAGGTGGTAGCTTTCTGATTTAAAAGTATATATAGGGGGACTTCCCTGGTGGTCCAGTGGTAAGGAATCCACCTTGCAATGCAGGGGACAAGGGTTCGATCCCTGGTCAGGGAACTAAGATCCCGCATGCCGCGGGGCAACTAAGCTCACGTGCCTCAACTAGAGCCCGGGTGCAGCAACTACAGAGCCCATGCGCTCTAGAACCCGCGCAACACAACTAGAGAAGACCTGCGCACTCCAACTAGAGAGAAGCCCACGCACCGTAAGGAAAGATCCCGCATGCCTCGACAAAGATCCCACGTGCCACAACTAAGACCCAACGCAGCCAAAAATAAATCAAATTAAATAAGTAAATAATAAATAAACCTTTAAAAAAATATGTACGCATAGATGTATCATTTATCTTGATTGCGAGTATTTTCATGCTCCCTTAACTTTTGCACTAGAGGCTGGTGCCTCGCTCATCTAACCCTAGTGCCCCTCTGCCAAGTCCCCTCAGCTTTGGGAGCCACATATCTGCCCTGGCACCCAGAAGTGGACTACATCTGGAAAGGACCCTGATTTTGGTCTAAGTTCAGCCACCAGCTGCCTGAGTGACCTTGGGCCAGTCAGGCTCCACCTTGCCCTCTGTTGACCCCCAGAGCTGTGTCTTCCCAGAAGGGGCAACTTTTTCTTCACGTGGTGTCATATAAGCTAGAGGAGACTTGGATCATAGCTGCAAACCGGGGATTAGGAAGCTGCTTCATTGCCTCCAACCTGATTCTTGACACCCACAAGGCTGAAGATTAGACACTGCAACACTGCAGAAAACCCCCATGCCTCCTCTACTTTACTGGTCATCAGAAAATAGCAGCAAGAAAGTGGCCCATTTCATTCACACCTTCTAAATCTCATGCAAGGACCTTGGAAGAACCTAATATGCAAGGGAATCTAAGAAATGTAGTGTTTAGTTTTCCAACAACTACAGTCCAGAGAGCCTCTTTAGAAGGAAGTGAGAATAGATTCTGGGTGTCAAATGACATCCCAAACTATGGGAAAGCCAAGTTTCAATGCAGGTATAAACCCATGCTGGCAAACATACACCCTACACATAGCAGAATCATAAACTCTTTGAGAGAAAGCTCTGCGAGGGGCCCTGAAAACCATCTCATCCTATCTGCTTATTTTACAGCTGAAGAAACTGAGGCCCAGAGAATGGAAGTGATTGGGGAGTGGGGGTGGGCAAAGAGTGGTATGAAGACGCTGGTACGGGTGAGCTGGAAGAACCTGCAGAAAACTTCTTGGTGCCCAAAGAGTTTCTAAATTTACAAAGATTGTACTGAGGTTTGAATGTGTTGTGCCTAATTCAGATCCAGGAGGACGCTGGCCATTAAGAGATGTAAGCATTTTTCCAGGTCATGAAAAACAAAGAAATTGTCCTAAAATACTAAAGAATTCTTCCAGATTAAAAGAGACTAAAGAACCATGAAAACTAAATGCAACATGCGCATCTAGTTAGGATTATATCCTGGACCATAATTTTTTTTCTTACGCTATAAAGGCTATTAGTGGAATAATTGGTGAAACTGTAATAAAGTCTGTTCATTAGATGACAGTACTGGATCATTGATAATTTCCTTGTTTTTAGAAAATCCACATTATTTAGGAATAAAGAGAGAGAGAGAAGCATTTTGAACTGGCAGGAAATAAGAACAGAAGAAGAAAGAACAGAAAGTGATCCTGAATCCCAGGGAAGAGAAGCTGCGAATCACCCAAGCAGTGTGATCAGACCTTCCTCAAGGCGTTCTGCACCTGCCCCATGTGGGATGCTGGGGACTCAACAGGGACAATGCAGAGTCCCTGTCCTCCTGGAATATGTCTAGGGAAGGGAGGGAGGGAGGGACTTTGGCTTGGGGCAGGGGGGGATGCTGTTCCGGCGTCCCCAGTGCACCTCTCAAAGCACCTGCCATGGGGCTTCCCTGGTGGCGCAGTGGTTGAGAGTCCGCCTGCCGATGCGGGGGACACGGGCTCGTGCCCCGGTCTGGGAAGATCCCATATGCCGCAGAGCAGCTAGGCCCGTGAGCCATGGCCGCTGAGTCTGCGCGTCCGGAGCCTGTGCTCCGCAACGGGAGAGGCCACAACAGTGAGAGGCCCGCGTACCGCAAAAAAAAAAAAAGCACCTGCCAGCCACTGTTGAGCTTCTGGGTGGGTGCGACTCCAGCTGCCAGCCAGGGGCTACACCCACTGCCCAGCACCAGCCTCTGTACCGCCCACCAGGCTCAGAGGAGGAACCGGGCTCCCAGGACTGGGTGAGATCAGACAGAACTGGATGGAGTCCAAGCACATGTCCAGAAGCCAGGGCCAGCCCAGGGGAGACAGTATTACTGACACCCCCTCCCTCCGAGCCCACTGGGGCCTTAGCGTTTATAGAGCACCTCCACACCTGCTTGCTTCCCAAAATAGCCCTGCGAGGGGTGTCTGCCGGGGACTGTCTCCCTGAGGCTCAAAGGGCCCAATACTCGGCCCTCTGACCAAGGCACACAGGGGTTTGCCTGGCCTTACTGAACCCGTAAGCTCTGCCCCTACTCCCTGGCACATGCGGAAAGGAGCTTCAATATTAGAGGGTGATATCTGGTGTTGGGAAAGCAGGTCCGGTCTGTCAGCTGGGCTGAGGGCTGGGGAGGAAAATGGCTGGTGGGGGGCAGGATGGGGTGAGGGAAAAGAGAAACTGCCTCCATTGCATGGGTCTTTCTCACCCATGAGAGTGTAGGGTGGGGATGGTCACCCCCAAACGCCTTTCTGTAGCTGTTAGGCAAGTAATTAAAATGAAACTCGCTGAGTCAGGGACACACCAGGGAGCGGTGGGGACTGTCCATGTCCGGGGCAGCCACTACTCAGCCCTGTCAACACGTTGTTGCTGGAAAGCTCCAGTGTTGCTGAATTTTCTGATCCTCTCCCCTCTCTCCTCCCCAAAAACAGCAAACTAGAAATCTAGATTGTGATGTGAAATCTCCTGATTTAAATGTTGGTTCATGGGACTTCCCTGGCGGTCCGGTGGTTAGGACTCTGCACTTTCACCGCTGAGGGCATGGGTTCGATCCCTGATTGGGGAACTGAGATCCCACAAGCCACCAGCAAAAAAAAAAAAAAAAAAAAAAGGTGGCTCAATAGTGTAAACACACACACACACACACACACACACACAGAGTGAAGGCCAAAGCAAATATGTCCGCTGCCTCTGGCCTAAGCACTGGCCACATGCTTGGAGAGTGCCTCTTTCCCAGCTCAGGGCACAGTGAATGCCGGATAAACCCCTGTTGGATTAAGCCCATCCTTCCTGTTTCCAAGAACTGGCCTGCCTCCCTGCTCTGGGCAGGACCTGTCTCTACAACTGAGAGGAGATGGGGCACATGGCTATTTACCTTAATGTGAGAAATTAGCTTCCAGTTGACTGAAAGGGATTTTGCAAACAAACCCTCCTCCCATGCCCACCCCTGCCATGTACCTAACGTCCACTTGCAGTTACAATTTTGCAGAGAACGCAATCCAGCTTTGAGGAAGCTGAGGCCCCAAGGTCACTAGTAAGAGTAAACAGGACCTGATCATAACAACTATTTATTGAATGCCTACTACGGATGCACCTGGCTCAGGCCTCCAACTCAGGCACTGACTTGTGCTATTTTGAGATGCCATTGATGGGGAATATGCCAGAACCCATCTGTTCATCACAGACCCAGCTTGAGGAGACAAGTGGCATCCATTAGATGTCACCTTCATGAAGCCTCTTAGACTTACTCCAGGTGATGCCCTTTCTCCAGTGCCAGCATCGAGCCTGAGTCCATCTCCTTCACGACACCAAACTACTCCAGGACTGGGGCTGTCTCACTCATTTCTGTAACCTTTGGGAGAAGCTAGGAAGCGCGCTGGCATGATGTCTGTGGGCCGACACCACCGGTGACAGGGTGACAGACTTGAGGAAGAGCAGGGAACTGAGGACTGCTGAGTCCTTTCCTTGCCGAGTCCTTTCATCATCCCTGTTTTACAGATGAAGAGACTGAAGCTTAGAAGAGGCAGACCTGTCCAAGGTCACGCAGTCACAAAAAGAGAAGCCTGGACACTCTGTGCCAGAAGCTGAGAGAGGAGTTACCTCACATCCCTCCCCTTTGGCCCCTCTTCCCCGTGGATACGGTTCTAGATGCACCAAACCTGGTGAGAGACAAGATTTGGGGACAGGGCACCAG